GGGTGAAATTGGGAGGTTTTTGGAGGCGAAATCGGGGACAATTTGGGGTAAAATCGGGAGGATTTGGTGTAAAATCGGAGGGATTTTGGGGTAAAATTGGGGAGAATTTGGGGTGAAATCGCGGGGATTTTGGAGACGAAATTATTGATATTCCGGGGATGAAATCGGGGGGGTTTGGGGTAAAATCAGGGGGAATTTGGGGTGAAAGCGGGAGGATTTGGGGGTAAAATCGAGAGGATTTTGGGGTGAAATCGGTGTAATTTGGGGTGAAATTGGAGTGAATTTGGGATGAAGTCGGGGGGATTTTGGGGTAAAACGAGGGATTTGGGGGTAAAATCGGGGGGATTTGGGCTGAAATCGGGAGGATTTTAGGATAAAACCGGGGATTTTGGGGTAAAACCGGGCATTTTGGGGTAAACCCGGGGATTTTGGGGTAAAACCGGGCATTTTGGGGTAAAACCGGGGATTTTGGGGTAAAACCGGGGAGTTTCGATGAAATCGCAGCGATTCGCCAGGAACTCAGGGCCACGCCCACCACACAAACCACGCCCACTCCACCACCACACCCACCAACGACCACGCCCACCAAGGCCACGCCCTCCGCGCTCAGCCAATCGCGGCGGGCGGCGCGCGCAGGCCCCGCCCACTCCCGTCGTGCCCCGCGCTGCCCGCGCGGCCGCGGTGAGGGGAGGGGGCGGCACCGGGACGGGAGGGAGCGCGGGCACCGGGACCGGGAGGGGCCGGCGGGGTCCCTGAGGGGCCGCTGGGGTCGGTGAGGAGCGGGAGCCCTGAGGGGCGGCGGGATCCGTGAGGAGCGGGAGCCCTGAGGGCCGGCGGGTCTGTGAGGGGCGGCGGGGTCCTTGAGAGGCGGGCGGGTCTGTGAGGGGCGGGAACCGTGAGGGGCCGATGGGGTCGGTGAGGAGCGGAACCCTGAGGGGCGGCGGGTCCGTGAGGGGCGGCGGGGTCCGTGAGGGGCCGGCGGGTCTGTGAGGGGCTGGATCCGTGAGGGACCGCTGGGGTCGGTGAGGAGCTGGAACCCTGAGGGGCGGCGGGCTCCGTGAGGAGCGGAACCCTGAGGGCCGGCGGGTCCGAGAGGGG